ATCCAAAGTAATAGTCCAATACATAAACTACTATACCTCACTGGCTTTCTACATACCCATATTGCTGTTGCTGTTGACTATCATAGAGTTTCCTGGGGCTGAGAGTGTGTGACTCATCCAAGGTCACCCAGTGGGCTTCCATGGCTGAATGGGGATTCAAATCCTAGTCTCCAGAGTCCAACATTCAAACCACTACACTACACTAACTTTCTACATATCCATGTTGTTGTGTGTCTTCAAGTTTCTGACTATGGGAAATCTTAAGGCCATAAGGCAGTGGTTAGTTGTTGTTGTTGTGTGCCTTCAAGTCATTTCCAACTTATGGCAACCCTAAGACAAACCTATCATGGTTTTTCTTGGCAAGATTTGTTCAGAGGGGTTTTTCCACTGCATTGCCTCCTTCTGAGGCTGAGAGAGTGTGCATTTACCACTGCCAGACTCTGAGACTAAGAAGGTGCCCAAATTTGAACCCTCATCTCCAGATTCATAGTCCAATACTCAAACCACTGCACCACGCTGGCTCTTATTTCTATGTATATATGTCAATATATTTGGAGCATATACATATAGTCAGTATATATACACTACATATACACTGCAGAGTTGTATGTAAAGAATTCTCTCCCAACATTTTATATTTAAATCCCATGAGTGCGTGTGCATGTGCATGCACATTTACATTACATTGCTATCCCACCTTTTCCTTTAGTGAACTTAGGAACACATACATGCGCCTCATGCCCATTTTATTTTCACATGACAACCCTGCAAGGGAGGTCAGGCTGAGAATAAAAAAGAGGGACTGGCCCAAAATCTCCAAACCGGGCCCAATATATGTTTGTGTGTGGGTGTATTTCATTTTATTTGTCCCTCCCTTGCCCTTCTTGTGCAGATTAGATTCCCATTTTACTTTTGACACACAACTCCGAGAACTGTAAAAACACCCAGTGATGCTCCTGGACTAGGCTGCTAGATGAACACAGACTTTTGCCATTGAGTGTCCAAGGATGGCGAACAGTTGCTATTTTTATCTGTTCTTTGCCACCCTATCCCACGGCTAGTGTCCCACATGTCCTTGTTTTATTTTAGATCAGCCCTAGGGAGAACGTCTTCCCCGGGGAAGTTTCTTCATAATCTTTTCCTTCTTCTTTCCTTCAAGGTTATCAGGGTGATGTGCAAGGGTTTCATCTTTTCTTACCATTGTTTTACTCTCGTGACAATTCTGTTTGGTAGATCAGGCTGGGAGAAGGTGACTGGTCCAAGGGACCCTCATGAGTTTCAGGGCTCTTAGATCTCCCAAGTCCTTTTTCTACACTCTAACCACTACACAATGGTTCTCTCTCTCATGTCTGTGGTGGAGTCTCCTTCTTTGGAGGTCTTTAAACAGAGGCTGGATAGCCATCTGTCGGGGATGGTTTGATTTTGAGTTCCTACATGGCAAAATGGGGATGGACTGGTTGGCCCTTGTGGTCTCTTCCAACTCTATGATTCTATGTGGATGAGATATTAATCGACCTTTCCACTGAAGCACTCAAAAGCAATTGTGGTCTAGCTCCAGGTTTCTCCGTCAGTATAGTAACCTTTGTTGTGGCCCTTCTCTGCCATCGGTGGCTTCCTCACTCTCCATGCCATGAGCCCAGAGGGCCATTTCCCTGGCAGGAGGGACCATTGTGCTGGCAGGCTTGGAGCTGTCATTTAAATGTCTTGCAGCTCAAGACAGTCCCCAGATGCAGCATCACTGCAAGACAATTGTGGGAGTTATAAAAACCATCAAGTCACTTGCAGCGAAGGCAGCCTTTCAGGCCAGAGTTATCTGTGGTCAGTGCCCAAGTGATGGGCTTGCTTCAAGATGCTGGTGATTATCCCTGGATGATTTATTAATCCCACCTTTTTCTCAGGCCACCCAGTGGTCCAAATCCATGGCCAAGCAGGGATTTGAACTTTGGTCTCCAAAGTCATAGTACAATGCACAAACCACTATACCATGCTGACTCTCTACATACCCATGTTGTTGTGGTGATGGTGGTTGTGTGCCTTCAAGTGATTTCCATCTTATTGCCATAAGGTTTTCTGATGCTTATCATAGGGTTTTCTGGGGCTGAGAGTGTGTGACTCACCCAACGTCATCCAGTGGATCTCCGTGGCTGAGCAGGGATTCAAACCCAGAGTCACAGTGAGTTTCCACAGCTGATAGGGATTCAAAACCTGGTCTTCAGAGTTGTAGTCCAACACTCAAACCATTACACCACACTGGCTCGCTACATGCCCATGTTATTGCCTGCCCCCCCCCTTTTTTTAAAACTGAACTTATGGATTTACTGTGTCTTGAACAGCTGTGTGATGGATAAAAACTCAACAGGAGAAGGCACTCCCATCAGGGTGTTTGCATTTGATGCAAAGGAACAGTGCTAAACGTACACATGGCAACCTGACAATCAGGAGGAACAAAAGAATCGCCTGGCACTACAGGAATTGAACAGAGTTTCATTCAAGTTGAGATTCTGGAGGAAAGTATTCTCTAGAGACTCACTGAGAAACAAAGTGTGCCTTGCCTTGCCTTGCCTTGCCTTGCCTTGCCTTGCCTTGCCTTGCCTTGCCTTGCCTTGCCTTGCCTTGCCTTGCCTGTGGTTGCATTTTTTTAAAAAAAAAAATATGGGTCAAATCAGATCTACCTTTTAAAAATAGTATGCAGTTAAAAATACATGCACACATGCATTTGCCCATGTGGAAAATGCATATATTAGTCAAAATGTGTGCAGAAAATGTGTAGGGATACTCGTAGGGGAAGAACCCAAGTCTTGCAGCCTAATTTTAATACAAGATGTAGGTGCGAAGATTAAAATTTGGAAAAGGAGTTAGGAAGGAACTCACTAAGAGTCTCAAGTGTGAAGATGTGTCATTGAATGCCAAAGTCAGAATCATCCACATGCCGTAGGATTTCCGATTTTTGTGTATGGTTGAGAAGGCTGCACAATGAAGAAAGCTGATAGGAGAAAATCAACTCATTTGAAATGTAGTGCTGCTAGGACTTCCCTGGACAGCCAAAATGATAAATAAGTTGGTGCTAGAGCACATCAAACCTGAACTGTCCCTCAAAGTCAAAAGCCATACTTGTGATCTCCTTAACTAAGTCTATCCATCTAACTTGTAGTCTTTCTTTCGACTTACTAGCATTATTGTCTTTTGTAATAAGTTGTTCCTTCTCATAAGGTGGCAAAATATAATAGTCTCAATTGGATCATCTTGGCTTCCAGGGAGATTTCTGGCTTTATCTGTTCAAGGATCCATTTGTTTGTCTCATTGGCTGTCTGTGGCATCCTCAGCACTCTTCTCCAGCACCACATCTCAAATGAGTTGATGCTCTTCCTATCCATATTCTTCACTATCTAGCTCTCACATCCGTACATGGCGATGGGGAATACAATGGCTTGGACAAGTCTAACTTTAGTGTTCATTTGTAAATCTTTACACTTTAGGATCTTTTCTAGCTCTTTCATGCTTGCCCTTCCCATTCCTAGTCTTCTTCTGATTTTTTGACAGCAGTCTCCATTCCAATCAATGTTTGATCCTAGGTACAGGAACTCTTAATATTTCGATTTCCTCATTGTCTAGGTAGAGTTTATGTATTTCTTCCATGGTCATTATTTTTGTTTTCTTTATGTTCAGCATTAACCCTGCCTTTGCACTTTCATTTTTGACCTTCCTTAGTAATTGTTCCAAGTCTGTGATGTTTTCTGCTAGTAGTATGGTACTCAAATGCAATTTCTTCTGCTGCCAGCCCAAGCCAAAGGGATTCCCATCTTCAAGTTGCATCAAAGTGATTGTTCTGCACAAACACTGCTTGCATGCACAGTCACAAAAAGTCTAGAGCAACTGCTGAGGGCATTTCCACATAACTGCAAAGGAATCTTGTTAACCACTGATTTCAGTAAAAAAACCAAACAAGAATATTACTTTTATAAAGCGCCCCTCCTTGTCTCAGGGTGCATCTACACTGTAGAAAGGATGCAGTTCAACACCACATTAACTGCCATGGCTCCATCCTACAGAATTTTTGGATCTGTAATTTTGTGAGGCACCAGTACTCTTTGGCAGAGAAAGCTAAAGGCCTTACAGTTCCCAGAATTCCATAGGATGGAGCTACAAACAGCACTTAAAGTGATGTCAAATGGCATTATTTCTACCGTCTAGGTGCACCCTTAATGGGTTATAGAAAGATAATTATTGTTGTTGTGTGCCTTCAAGTCATTTCCAATGTATGTCGACTCTATCATGGAGTTTTCTTGGCAAGATTTGTTCAGAGGAAGTTT